TTTCATATGAACTGATCCTGAGAATGCCTCCTCCAGAGAGAGACTTACAAATAGTGTCATTTTCCTTTCTTCACTTTATTTCATCTTCTTCATTTCCTGAAATAAACCCTAAAGAATTCACTAAGTAATAACAATTCCCAGGAAGGGAGGTGATACAAGCTCTATATGATCCACATAGATGTTTGAAAGGATTCAAACTGTAGCTTACTGGATATTTAATTAAAACCTTTTGAATGAAAAATAAAGCCTTCATATTAATAATAAAGCTTGCAGCCCCTTGGTTGCCCATATATATTGAGTTGATATTTAGTTTTCATTATTTTAAACAGAATAAAAGACTAGAGTACAATTATCTGGTTTCTTGCCTTACTCCCTGGCATTAAATGGAAACAGTCCTAGAATGGTACTGTTAAGCACTGGTTTGCTAACTGAAACTTGAGCAGTTCAAACCCACCATCTGCTACTGGAAAAACACATACAGTATTGCTATGAGTTGGAATCAATTCGACAGCACTTAACAGTAACAACATACATAGAAGGATGCATTATCATTTTGAAAAGCAGTGAAATTGAGGGAAAATCTGACATTCTGTCCCCTTATGCCAGGCAAATTGTTAAGAAAGAACTGTAAATAACAAATCAACTTGAAAGAAAAGCAATTTATAAAGTACAATTTATACATTCACATTTTAAAGATAAAAATGACTAAAATGCCAAGGGACTGAGTTTTCTCTAAAGTGTGTTTTCCTTCTTCTAAATAGTGTATTATTGTGGAGATTCCATTTATTCAAAGGCCTTTCAGGTTTTTACAACTTGAAGATCTGTGGAATTTTCCCTTGTATAAAATTTTAAGAGGAGAAAATAAGTCAAAATGGAGTGTTTTCTAATGCCGTAATTAGCAGAGCACTTAATTAATTCATTCTTAGATGCTGCCCTTTTCCTTTCTTCCAGGAAAGCAAGGAGAAACTTCATCAAAGACCCAACTTCATTAACATCTGAGTGCCTTGCAGAAAGTTTAAATTCCAATCTGGTACACATGATGATTTCTGTAATTTCATGTCATGTTCAAAATAGTAACTCATGGTTTATTAACTGAAATACTAATTCTGTACCAAAACCACATTAATAACTTAACCAATTTTTACCATTTTTAAAAGTTTTGTACTTTTCAGTAATCTTTGACTTATTTTCCACTCATGTTGGAAGGCATCATGGTCTATACATGTGCGACTTAATTTGATTCAAATCTCCAGAACATACAATTTGGACATAATCTTTTCAATGGTATATTTGTATAAGTAACACTAGTATCTTTTTATTCACAATTATAATGAAGTAAAATAAATACTTTTATAAAATTGAAATGGTCAGGCATGCTTACAATTAGTCTCTTTTCTTTCTTTGAAGGGGTACTGCAATGTTGAGAGGCAGGAGAGAATTGGATTGGTCAATTAAGGCAAGGGGAACAGGACAGATACATGAGAAAGGGAGGAAAGAAGTACAGTACACAGTAAACAGAGATAGGCATTGCTCATTGATTACCTAGCGAGCCAGGAGAGAGATAATCCACAAGGAAACTAGATCTTAACAAATGGCTTGCTAGGGACTCTAGATCTTAACAAGCAATGTGTTAGAGGATGATATTGGTAAACTTAGTTATGGCACTCCTATAGGAGCCTGAGAAGTGACCATTTAATGTAAAGCAGCTTAGAAGACAGCACACCGTAAAAACAAAGCTGGAAATGTGGGTCTAAATCTGGCAGGAGTAGAGTCTATCTCATATTTAGAAGACCTAAGACACTCCCACATCAATAAAGCCTGAATCTTATATTGAACTACATTGGTTTCAGAGATTGATGCAAAATTACGCTTTCAGGGATCAAATGAATTAACTATAGGACAAAGAAACTGATGGGAAGGAGGTGAATAGGTAAGTCTTTACACTTAGTATAACGCTCCTGGGTATTGCAAATGGTTAATATTCCTAGCTAACCAATAGTCTGCATGTTATACCCAGAGGCACCTGGGAGAAAAAAGTCCTGGTGATCTACTTCTGAAAAAATCAGGCATTGAAAATCCCATGGAGCATAGTTCTACTCTGACACACTTGGAGTTGCCATGAGTCAGAAGTGACTAGACCGATTACACTTAGTACAAAATGATTGTTTTGATGATTTGAAATTAAATTCAAAATCAATTCATGATAGACTGTTAAAAAACAAGATTTCAAAAATCATTGATAAATGAACATGAAGATATATTGGTGATTAAAGTGAATGCTTTTGTAATATGCTTGAACACAGTGTATGCACATGTATGCATCTAATACTAAACAATGAAGGGTCTGATAGAAAAAGATACATTGTGCTTTTTCATCATTTCATAGGAACTGTTCATCTTCATATACCATAATAATGTAGATTTTTTTATAGGAATGAAAAAGAAAATATGCTGATAAGAAAAGAAGGACCCTTTTACAAATACAGGCTTGAGAGCTCTGCATTTGGACTAATACATGCCTAGTTTTATATGACGTCTCATATACTGACATTGCTTCTTCTTATGTTTTACAGTAAAGGCAGAACAAAAACTAGCCCAAACCAGTCTACATTGTGGATTTCAAAGAGCACCAGAAAGGAAAGTAGCATGGAAGTATAACAGTCAGTGACCAATGCCAGAAAAGAAAATAAAGTTTTATGATTCTGGATCTGTATAAGGAATGGCAAAAGAACATTAGCTTTGAATGGCTTGAAATGGATCTGCAAGATGAACTGTAAGCTCCCCCTTGAGATAAATATTAAAATAATTTTTATATGTCTATTATTTCATATAAAACATGCTGTGCTAAAAAAGAAGTGAGATATGCTTATTTTGCTAAAGGATGCACCCAAACTTCAAGTCAAAGGAATGGACCATGCAGCTATAATTGCTATCAACACACCAGTAGTATGTGAGTTGGAAGCAACTATTCTTATTTCTTTCACCTTTAGTAAATTGTAATCTAGTTAATGTAATTCAGAATGTACTGAAATTTACAATGTGCAAAATATTTTACCTTTGCATAAGTGTTTGATAAAAATGGACTGTTTTAATATTTATTTTTATGGTGTTTTATTTTTCAGTATACACTATTTTGTTTAAACAAATTTATTTGTGTTGTTATCTGAGTTCACACATTCAAAAATGTATTATCAAAAGTAGAAAGGTTTTTTATATTATTAATGGTTCATCTTCTTTCAGTTTCTCTGCTTTCTGTGAGACAATGTTTAGGAATCTTCAGAAATAAGAAATGAATCCATTAATTATGGTATTAATTGAAGCAAATATTTTACTTAGAGGCAAGAATTGTCTAATTTCAAATGTGCAAGACATGTGCCTTACAATTATTTTTCATTTAAAATTCAACAGATTTTGTAATAAAATAACTTTATTAATAGTTGTATAAACAATAAATACACTCAATTTAGAACAAAAGAAGTGGCATATACAGTATAAATCATATGTCTTCACATGTTGCCTATATAACCACAAGTAGCTCACTGAGGGTTCTGGAATTGATGTGGTTTCTTCCTTGTCCATAAGCACAGATTGATGCTTGGGGTCTGGGATTAACACAGATAGCTACAGAGTTAGCCTAAGGTTTTTCCTTGTTGTGTTCATCCTGTGTTATCATATATAAGGTCATAGAGTTGGGACCAGGTAAGTGGCAACCATAGCAAACTGACATTTCAGCAAGGAAAGAATCAGTGAATTAGTGTGAGAATAGGTTGATGGTGATCAGTGAGTGAGTTTATTTGATAAAAGTTTGTCTAGGAGAGAAAACTGGGACTCCTTTCTGTCGTCTAGTTTCTTCAGTGTGATTCCTTCTTCTCAAGAGAGCATTGTAACTATTTAGTCTTCAAATGTCTCTGTGCTCCTTTTAACCAAATAAAAGCGTTCTTGTTTCTGAAGAATGATTTTCAGTGTTGTCTAAATTTCTTAAATGAACAAAACATATGTATTTGCTGCAATATATGAAGATGAAGACAAATCACTCTTCAACGTGGTAACAGTGGAAGTTGTGGTTATAGAATGTTTAAAACCTAATTTTCTGTATGATTTGTTTTAGTTGCATAATAAAAGGCTTTCAGTAACCCAATTAAAAACTGGAATTGATTGGCAATACTAAGACACAAAATAGAAAATAGTGGGCACTGACTGTTTTTCAGCTGCTTAGAGACTAAAGGAATGCGTAACAACATTATAGGTTTAAATCAGCCTACATTTAATACTCTTTCTTTTATTGGCTACCTATCCATCTAGGCAAATTTATGCCATCATATTATTGTTGTTGTAATGTGTCATTGAGTCAGTTATTACTCATAGATACCCTATGTACAGCACAATGAAACACTGCCTGGTCCTGCATCATGCCCACAATTGTTATACTTGAACCCATTGCTGCTGCCACTGGGCCAGTCCATATCGTTAGGGGTCTTCCTCTTCTTCTTTGGCCCTCTATTTTGCTAAGCATGATGTTCATCTCCAGGGACTGGTCCTTACTGATAACATATCCAAAGTATGAGAGATGAAGTCTCACTAACTAACTATACTAGGGTCAGGTGCACCTTAGTCTTCAAAATGATATCTTCTCCCTTAAACACTTTAAAGAGGTTTTGTACAGCAGATTTTCCTTATGAAATGTGTCATTTGATTTTTGACTGCTGTTTCCATGATTCTGATTCCAAGCAAAATTAAGTCATTGACAAAATCTATCTTTCGATGTTGTTGTTGTTGTTATGTGCCATCGAGTCGGTTCCGACCCATAGCGACCCTATATAGGGTTTCCGAGGGTGTAAATCTTTACGGGAGTAGAAAGCCTCATCTTTCTCCCGCGGAGCAGCTGGTAGTTTCGAACCGCTGACCTTAAGGTTCGCAGCCCGATTCGTAACCACTACGCTACCAGAGCCCCTTCGATACTCATCATAATATTTTTTATTGGTCCAGTTGTGAGGATTTTTGTTTGTATGTTTGTTTGGTTTTAAATTGAGGTATAGTCCACACTGAAAACTGTAGTCTTTGATCTTCTTCAGTACATATTTTAACTTCTCTTTGCTTCCAGCAAGCCAAGTTTTGTCATCTGAATATCACAGGTTGTTAATGAGTCTTCCTGCAGTCCTAATGTCACATTCTTCTTCATATAATACAGCTTCTCAAATTATTTGTTCAGTATACAGATTAAATAAGTATGATTAAAGGAAACAACCTGATGTACACCTTCCTGATTTTGAAACATTCAGTATTCCCTTGTTCTGCCTCTTTGTTCTTCAAGAGCATAATGAAGTGTTTTGGAATACCTATTCTTTACAATGTTATCCAGAGGTTGCCATGATCCACATAGTAGAAGTAATATAGTTCCTCTTTTGTTTAGAATTTTACAGGAGTCTAGACTTTCTCTTTTGTTCATACCACTCAGAATTACAACAGCTACAAAGCAGAAGGAGAAAAGCAATGGCAAAAAGGCTTTCTTTTTCTCTTTATCGTTATTCAGACCTGAAAATCTCTGTTATCAATTATTAATTCCATAAAGTGATTGTAAATGATCTAATGAACCTCTCTCTTGTAGAAGATGGTGGTGAGATTGATCCAAAGGCTTGTTTAAAATTTCAGCTGAACTTTGAAAATGGAATAATGATTTATACATTTTTATATTTTATATTTATGTGTTTATATTTTAAGAAAGTATTTGCTTAAATATACTTTAGCTCTGTGTGTGTTTTGTTTTTATTGTGAATTGAGTGATAGTTTACATGGGAGAACATCGGTTTTATGTTCATCATTTCATCACAATGTTTACAGTTTCCTCCATGTATCATCATTCAACAGTATTTGCTTCCATTCCCTCTTTTTTTTTTTTGTATATATACAGAAACACTCAGGTATTTATAATCAATTAAATAACCAATGGGCACATTCTGCAAGTCTGCCTGCTGACTGCAAGCACGTAGTCTTTCTCTTTCCATGAGTCTAGAGTCTTCAGCTACTCCATTTCTCCATGTTCTCAGCCCTGCTTCCAACTCAGGTATTGTTTATTTTCTAGAAAGAGTCCCACATTGCACTTCTTCTCTGTTTTTGTAATGACTGCATTAATCAGTTTATTGAACAGATTAATCATTCTTGAATGTACAAGCTCCAGAGAAGCAACTGAGTCTTTAAATATACACTAGTATTTCCATCAAATGTATTTTCACCCTTACACCCAGATAGACCTAAGCAGTTAAAAACATAAAGAAAAATAAGTGCTATTAGCTATGTATTAACTGAGAAACCACATACAAACTAAAGAATACAGAAGAAAAAAAGAGGCTGAAAGATGAAGGTCGAAGGGGCAGAGAAATATAAAAAATTGGTAACAAAGCCCATCAAATTTACGTGTACTGACAGCTGTTGACCAGTTAAACTTAGATGTTAAAACACAGGATGTGTTGGTAGAGTTTAATCTGGTTGGTCTTAACTTTCACCTAAGACATAGGTACTTCAAATAAAATGGATACAGAAACAACTTCCATGGTCTTCACATTGTTTTTCATACATGTTTTATGTTTAAAAGAATTCCACTTAAAAAAGAGTCTCCTACAGGTCAGTGGAGTTGCTTTTCCCCACTCAAGAACACACCACAACCACCACCCCTCTTCTCCCTTGATAATCCTAGTACTCTGTTCTTGCACTGTAAGATTAATTACTTCCCCCTTTTTGTTACAGGACTTCTACCTTTACTGTTGTGACAGTCACAATGTGTCATGATAACAATTACTCACTATTGAATCATAAGAATCTTATCCCTATATCTTTTCACCAGACCCATCTACCTTTCCCCACACACTCTGAAACTAAACTACCACTTGAAAACTTGTAAGCCAGTCACTTTGTGCCTTTATAGTCCCCCCTCCCCCATTTTAGGTAGTGCATTTTTAAGTTGGCTGTCACTATCAAACTTGTATACAGAGGGGATAGGATTGATATTTGATGTGAAGACTCCTTTCTTCTCAGTTGGCATTTTGAGTTACTACATCCATAAGTCAGTAGTTGGAATATATGGCCTTGGTGCTAGAAATGATGCTGCAGATGGAATGATAGAAATTCTGCAAAATCAATGATTTGTTCATTTCAAATACCTTCTTTAGACAACATAAGAGACAATTGTACACATGGACCTCACCAGATAGAATACAAAGAAATCAAACTGACTATATCTGTATAAAGAGACAATGGAAAACCTCCATATCATCAGCCAAAATAAGGCCAGTGGCAGATTGTGGAATAGAAATCAAATGCTCATATGCAAATTCAAACTGAAGCTGAAGAAAATGAAAACAAGTCCACAAGAGGCAAAATATGACCTTAAATATATCCCACCTGAATTTAGATATCATCTTAAGAACAGATTCGATACATTAAACACTGAAGACCAAAGATCAGAAGAGTTGTGGGATAATATCAAAA